TAAATAGCGCTATCTACTGCGAGGATCGTGCATCATACGTATCTAATACCGCAGTTCAAAATATATGAACTTCATATATTCATTGCATCTCATTTATCACTTTCACGGGTTTATTACGAATCAACTTAACGGCCTGCTCCCAGTTGGCTTGTTAGCTCAATTGGTAGAGCGCTGCACTAGTATCGCAGAGGTCAGTGGTTCGAGTCCCGTACCGTCTTTTTTCAGGTCTGATTTTCGCTATTGCATAAATAGCGCTATCTACTGCGAGGATCGTACATCATACGTATCTAATTCCGCAGTTCAAAATATATAAACTTCATATATTTATTGTATCTCAATGTGAAGAATGGCACTCGCTCGCTCGCTCGATTGGTCGATTTCTGTAAACTTTTTTTCGATTTTAGGCGTTTGAGTGCATTTGATAGTTTTTGGCGAGTAATAAACAAACGAAATGACGACCTTTGTTGCTACGGATAATGGTGGGGTGAAAAAGAAGGCAATGATAATCTTAAAAGAGTTTGAAGCTATACGTTTTTCATCCGTGAATTAAGTTTACCCAATCTTCGAAAGCACTGTTGTCTCTTGCAGCGTATATTTCATATATGGCGTCAATGATTCTATTTTTGAATGTACGCATGCAGGAAAATGATTATTGTGTCCGAAAAAGAAACAAAGAAAACAAAACAAAGAAAGCAAAGAAAGGAAGTTAAGCGAAACTAAAAGTTTACTTTCGCGCTGCGGATTTGATCCAACCACTTCTTCATAACAGGGAAAGTTATTATGATTGTGGCAGGGCTATCTTTAAAATAGAGAACGGGGAATAGGGGAATAAGGGAATAGGGGAATAGGAGAATAGGGGAATAGGAGAGTAGGGGAATAGGAGAATAGGAGAATAGGAGAATAGGGGAATTGGGGAATAGGAGACTAGGGGAAATGGGGGAATTAGGGGAATAAAGGAATAGGGGAATTATGGGAATAGGGGAATAGGGGGATAGGAGAATAGGGGAATAGGAGAATAGGGGAATGGGAGAATAGGGGAATAGGAGAATCGGAGAATAGGGGATTAGGGGAATTGGGGAATAGGAGACTAGGGGAATAGGGAAATAGGGGAGTAGGGAAATAGGAGACTAGGGGAATAGGGGAATAGGGGTATAGGGGAAGAGGGGAAGAGGGGAATAGAGGAATGGGGGAATGGGGAATGGGAATGGAGAATGGGGATTGGAAAATCTTTAAAACGAGGAATGTTTAAAAGGGAGAATCTTTAGAATGGGGAATGTTTAAAAGCGGGAATCTTAAAAAGCGAGTATCTTTAAAATGAAGAATCTTTAGAAGCGTGAAATGAAATCGACCAAATGAATGGGTGGTCTTTGGAAAAGTTGATCGTTTTTTCAATGTTACGTAAGTGATTCTATCAAAATTCATGACTGTTAAAACTACGTTAGAATGGAAGGGCACTCAGCACATGTTTTCAACACTCAACATAATTGCCGCAACGAGACATGTTAATCAAAATAAAGATTCTGATGCTGGAATTATTCCGGCCGATATTAATTAGCTGAATTGCACCGCGTTCGCCCCCTCGAGTTTGCCCCGTCGAGTTTGCCCCTACTTTATACCGTGTTCGCCCCCACACTTTTCGAATTCAACCCCACCAAGTCGAGTTCGCCCCTTGATTGAGTGATGTCCAGACACTGGCAGAATGTGCCAAATGTCAAGTCAGCGACGACCATATTGAGTTTCGGCAATTGCGTGGAATCTGCGGTTTATCTAACGAACACGAAATGTGCTTATCATAACAAACAGACTTGAGAAGATGCAAACCACGCTTTCATCGCATTGTGTTGATCATAACAAGACTTGAGAGGATGCAAACCTCACCTTCATCGCGACAGCATTGCTTAAGTTGTCAGACTTGTTATAAATGTCAGTGTAACAGTTTTAATGATAACTCGTTTAGCTTTATTTATGAAAATAAGACTGAAGAATTGACGAAACCACGATTTGATCACGCTATTGATTATTTAAGACTTATTAAGAGAACGCGTTCCACGCTTCATAGAATTTTCGATCATAGCAGCCACACTTTTCGATAGAAACTAATTTAGATATTACTCAATCTGGGGGCGAACTCGACTTGGTGGGGTCGAACTCGCGATCGAGAAGTGTAGGGGCGAACACAGTATAAGTTAGGGGCGAACTCGAAGGGGCGAACTCGATAGGAGGCGGAAGCGGCGGATACCAATTAACAGAAGAAAATTTGTGGCAGGGGCTGACGCAGCTTAAAGTAATAAATTTGATAAGTGTTATAAAGAACGAAAGTTATTTGAATGGCATGGTCTTTGTAAGGAAGTTTTAAGTATTTTATTTGGTCACTTCTCTAAAGAAGTTCCTAAGTAAAGTCCGGTAGTTGATCAGTAAGTGTTTCGGCGCGACCAAATATACTTGCTTGAAATGTGAATTCCACTATGCAATAAATGTTCAATTTTGGAAGAAAAAAAAGATGACCATACTGGTAAGAGCGTCGCTTTTTGCGAGCGATACACAAAAGAGGCGGGAAAGGACGTTGCTGACGCAGAGGACAACAACATCATACCCAAAGAACCGACAGAGCGAAGAATGAGTGTCAGTTGGAAAGGCGTAGAACAGGGCGCCCATTCAATATCTGTCAGCATCGTTTTGCTCGGCCCTTGATGCCGCCATTATTCTTCTGCAACACTCCTTTGCACATGCTCATATGTAAAAGCGGCAGAAAAAATACATTGAAATAACTTGCGTATTTGATTTGGCTCATGTGAAGTACGGCGTCTGAATCAAAGCCGGTCTACAGCCATTCTTCCCGGCTGAGTCAGGCGGGATTAATTGACCGAGCCGGTCTAAATTAAATCACCCGTTAAACAGACGCCGTAATTCACATGAACTTAATTGACCGAGCCGGTCTAAATTAAAGCAGCCGTTCTGAATCGATTTATTCGCCGTACTTCACATGAACTTAATTCGTTGAATTCGATTCAGCTCGGTTGAAGTACAGCGTCTGAACCGGGCCTTAGCTATTGAATCATGTTGAGTGTTGAAAACATGCGCTGAGTGCCCTTCCATTCTAGCGTAGTTTTACGTGTGTCAACAATCATGAATTTTGATGGATTCACTTGTGTAAAATTGAAAAAACGATCAACTATTCCACAGATCACTCATTTATTTGGTCGATTTCATTTCAAGCTTCTAAAGATTCCTCATTTTAAAGATTCTCGCTTTTAAAGATTCCCGCTTTTATAGATTTCCCATTTTAAAGATTCCCGCTTTTAAAGATTCCCCGTTTTAAAGATTTTCCATTCCCCATTCTCCATTCCCATTCCCCTTTCCCCTATTCCCCTATTCCCCATTCTCTATTTTAAAGATAGCCCTGCCACAATTATAATAACTTTCATTGTTACGAAGAAGTGGTTGGATCAAATCCGCAGCGCGAAAGTAAATTTTTAGTTTCGCTTAACCTCCTTTCTTTGTTTTATTTTTTTATTTTTCGGACACAATAATCATTTTCCTGCATGTATACATTGAAAAATAGAAGCATTGACGCCATAAATGAAATATACACTGCAAGAGACAACAGTGCATTCGGAGATTGGGCAAACTTAATTCACAGATGAAAAATGTAGAGTTTTAAACTCTAAACTCATTGCCTTCTTTTTCACCCCACCACTATTCGCAGCAAAAAAGGTCGCCATTTCGTTTGTTTATTACTCGCCAAAAACTATCAAATGCACTCAAACGCCCAAAATCGAAAAAAATTTTACAGGGATCGACCAATCATTCGAGCGAGCGAGCGAGTGCCATTCTTCACATCATATCTACAACTCGCCCTTGCGTATGCGCGCAATGCACGAGTTAAAAAGGGAGAAAGAAATGATAAAAACCAAGTAACTTGCTGTTGCTCAGTAAGGATTGATCCCTAGACTTCTCGCTTGGGAGGGGTAGCACTGTCCATTGCACCACACATGCAGACCCATACTTGGGTTCACAACCTTCTTTCCCGGAATAAACCGGCGCAGATATGACGTTAAAGCGCGGCCTTCCTTGATCAAAAGTTTTATAGTGCGAAGTCAGCTTAGTGGTCTCGACACCCGTTCATAATTAATTGTCCGAGTCCTGGGTATCACAGCCACGTTGATTTTTTGCTTTCATTAGAACGCATTAAGTTCAGGGTACGAAAGATTTGCCTTTTCGTTAACCTTGGATCGATACTGTATATGAGAAATGCTTATTTTCTTTGCCACCTTACAGGCTTTCTGACAAAGATAAACATTTTAACCGTATGTACGAGCATTGCAAAACCCAAGAGCAGAATCACAGATTAAGGTAGGTGTGTTTGGCATCAAAACACCATGATGACATTATAAAATCAATGCACACTAAACGTTAAACCCTAGAAAGGGAAGTCGTCTGGTGAAACCAAACAGAGTGATGATTAGCCAAATGGAACTAGTGCAAAGTTAAACTACCAGAGTGGCGTAGGTTTGTCTCATTTCTAAAGCGATTGTTTTCAAAACTAAACCTCGTGGAGACTCTCTACACTAAAATAAGCTGTTGATCAACCCAGACGGTGACGATATAGTGCTAGACTATCAGTGGTATCTGTTATATAGTGCTTGATAATTGGTCAGTGTTAGATAATTAGTAGTATTTATTATTGTGCATGTGCATATGTTTGGCGCTTACATATATCTGCATTCTAAAGTTCTAGTCCAACGTTTTTTTATATTATAATCGTCCCGGAAGTAAAGAATTAAATGAAGTATTTTTTAACCTAATCTCATCCTTACAGAGACTTCAGTAGGTGCATTCTTGCATACAGCGGTGCATACAGTCTCGTGCCCTGAGTTACATAAGAAGATTAAATTTTGTGCAGATTTGTTCTCAGGATACCTAATAAATTTCCTCTTAGTAACGACAAGTACATAGCAGAGCTCAGAGCCAAGGAGGAAGAACTCAAACAGTATCGGGAAAGGTAAGAAGGATAACCAGAAACATATCAAAAAACTACATACACGTTTACCGACTTTGATCAATGATCTCTCAGACATGCAATCTTACTGAGACCACCAACGAAGTAAAAAGAAGGGGAAGATGGATAATATTCCCTCCCATAATTTTTAATTTGTGCGCGATTGAATCTGTCTTATTATAGCTTATCTCCTTTTCATCACAGCAATAATGACAAACGAATTGTATTAGAACCAAACACTTTAGCTTTAATGAAAATTACTTCCCCGAAAATTCGAATGAGGTAGCTTTTGAAAACATAAGCGAGCTAAATATCCACGAGACATTCTCCACAGAGAAAAAAATTCTGCAATGAGAAAAGAATTCAACTTTAAAAAGTCTCGGCACCATTCTTTCGGCATTCTCAAGAGCTGTATAGTTGTTAGACTCAACCATTGTAAGAAGGATAAATTCCCAGCTATCAATGCCTCCATTTTTGCGTATTACATGATCTACAATTATGAAATTCATCACCAGAATAGCTCGGCTTGAAGGTTCACTAAACTCGAAGGAATCAATGCTGACTACGACAAGGTAAGAAGTATCACCCTTTGTCAGAGTTGGTCAAAATATAAACCGCAACAATTAATAACGAGAAAGTGAAAAAAATAACTTATTGCTTTTACATAGAAGGAAAATCGTGTCAGAATTATCTTGTTCCCTATTCTCTTACTAGTGGAATCGCATAATTGAATAAAATCTCGCATTCTGATTGGTTAACGAAGCGAAGCATTTGGCGTGGAATTGCAATTATCGCTTCACGTTTCGTGCGATTCGGTTTTCGTATTCAATTAAACGCGGAATTCCCTCGTCAGGTAATACATTTTCCTATAAAACTCACATCAGGCGAATTATTTCAGGCCATTTATTTAATGAGGCATAAAGATTTAAATAAACAATTAAAACTGACAACAAATATATATGAAATACACATATATGAACTGCGGTTATGAAACGTATATGTGCACGATCCTTCGCAGTAAAGCACTATTTAAGCAATAGTGAAAATCAGACCTGAAAAAAATTCAGGCCTGTACGGGATTCGAACCACTGACCTCTGCGATACTAGTGCAGCGCTCTACCAATTGAGCTAACAAGCCAACTGGGAGCAGGCCATCAAATTAATTCGACATAAACCCGTAGATGATAAATCAAACAACAAACATATGAAATACATATATATGAACTGCGGTTATGAAACGTATATGTGCACGATCCTTCGCAGTAAAGCACTATTTAAGCAATAGTGAAAATCAGACCTGAAAAAAATTCAGGCCTGTACGGGATTCGAACCACTGACCTCTGCGATACTAGTGCAGCGCTCTACCAATTGAGCTAACAAGCCAACTGGGAGCAGGCCATCAAATTAATTCGACATAAACCCGTAGATGATAAATCAAACAACAAACATATGAAATACATATATATGAACTGCGGTTATGAAACGTATATGTGCACGATCCTTCGCAGTAAAGCACTATTTAAGCAATAGTGAAAATCAGACCTGAAAAAAATTCAGGCCTGTACGGGATTCGAACCACTGACCTCTGCGATACTAGTGCAGCGCTCTACCAATTGAGCTAACAAGCCAACTGGGAGCAGGCCATCAAATTAATTCGACATAAACCCGTAGATGATAAATCAAACAACAAACATATGAAATACATATATATGAACTGCGGTTATGAAACGTATATGTGCACGATCCTTCGCAGTAAAGCACTATTTAAGCAATAGTGAAAATCAGACCTGAAAAAAATTCAGGCCTGTACGGGATTCGAACCACTGACCTCTGCGATACTAGTGCAGCGCTCTACCAATTGAGCTAACAAGCCAACTGGGNGCTGAGAGATTGTCCTCAAAATTTCATATTTGCCCTCGAAGCTTCGCTCCTTGGCAAAAAAATTCATTTTTTGGACAATCTCTCAGCCGCGGACATTATCAGCCGACATACCAGCCGCCCGAAGGGGTTTATTTACTAAATACTCTAGACTGACGTTGGTTGAAACTAAAGAAAGTGACAAACAGTTACACTAGTTACACAATGTACAACGTAAAGACATAACGAACAACAAGGCTATAAAATACTTACATTGTTACGGCTACAGAAATATTACTAAACTGCGCTTAGCGAAAACGAGAAAACGGTTATATTACATGATAAATTATGCAGCACAGAGCGACATAAGGCGGCAACGAAATGACAAGAAAAGCGCTAATGAAACAATGAGTATAATTACAGAGTGAAAAGACTTACATGAATGGACTCCAAACGCGCAAAGAAAAGGAAAAGAAGAAAAGAAAAACCAACAAGAAAAACTGTCGCACTTAGAACTTACAATGGTTATATCAAGATTTTACGAGAGGATTGTACATTTTAGGCAGAGCAACCAGTCCCGAACTGCCTGGTACAATGATTTCACTAAGAAAGCAAAAGAATAATGTCTACAAAAGAAAATAGGGAATATTGACTGTTTCAATCAGCTTTTACTTTATTTATTTATCGTTCTTTTTTCACATACAGAAGAAGTCGATGTCCTTAAAAATGCAAAAAAGGAACGGGGCTAATATCTAGACATCTTGACCGACAAGCTTGCTTAATGAAGGATCATATTGCAAAAAAAATTTGGGTTTGGGTTTTTTGTTAAGAATTAAGAAATGAATTGTTTACTTTGAGAGCCGGGAAAGAAAGCCAACTGATTTGTAGCACAGTAAACTCACGAGAGTCGTTTCTGTTTTCTTTGTTTTGACTACCTTTTGTCGCCTGTTGTGTCTCCATCGCTGGCATTGTCCAAGATTACGAGCTTAGGACTAACTCAATTTTTTTCATGCGCAGATCAATGCAGGTATTCCCAAGCGGGCAAGATAGGCCATCCTGCCGGCTCGTTTAGCCAATCAGAATACAGGATTTATTTATTCATTTATTATTTATTTATTTATTTGAGGATTTGTACCAAGTACAGGAGCAGAAACAATAGGACATGGGTCCTCTACGAGGTTTAAGCTCCAACAAACCCACCCATCCCGCTCCAGGGGAGGACATCCATCACACAGTAATCTCGTGCATGGGAAATTAACGTCTCCTACTCCTAACCCTGCAGGAGACGGGACCTCCATTTATTCGTTCCTATCCGAGAAGACTAGAATATCGAACCATTTCTTGATGTTATAGAAAGGTAGCATATTCTTCTCAATTATTTTAAGACCTTGAGTGTTGGTCCGGCCAGGGCTCGAACCATCGACCTCCTACACAACAGTCCAGCGCTCTATCCATTGAGCTAACCGGGAGGTGGTTAAAGCTATTGAAGGAAAAGAGTTTCACTTCATTCTCTGAGTTATACTCAAGATTGGTA